GAAACCTGGCAGACTATAGTCCATGGGGTTATTATATAATACTTTTATATTCAAAATAGAAAAAGAAATCATACATTTGACTTTAAAAAGATCAACAACTCAATTTAAAAAATGACAGAGGACATGAATAGAGATTTTTCCAAAGAATATATACAGATAGCCACAGGCACATGAAAAGATGTTCAACATCACTGATCATTAGGGAAATGTAACTCAAACGAGCTACAGTGAGCTAACACCACACATCTGTCAGAATGGCTATTACCAAAAAGACAAGAAATAACAAGTGTTGGTGAAGACATGGAGTAAAGAACCCTCATTAACTGTTGGTAGGAATGTATACTAGTGTAGGCTCTAGAAAACAATATGGAGATCCCCTAAAAAATAAAAAAACTACCTTACAATCCAGAAATTCCACTCTGAATATTTATGTGAAAAAAAATGAAAATACTAATTCAAAAAAATATATGGATCATATGTGCAGCTTTATCTACAATAGCCAAGATATGGAAGTTCAACCTAAGTGTCTATAGATGGATGAATGGATAAAGAATAAGTGGTATATATATATACAGTGAAATACTACTCAGACATAAAAAGAATGAAATCTTCCTATTTGTCACAACTTGGATGGACCTAGAGGGTATTATGTTAAGTGATATAAGTAAGACAAAGAAACACAAATACTATATGATTTCACTTATATGTGGAATAAAAAAAATGCAACAATATAACCAAACAAAGAGGTCATTTATCAGTGGAGTAGCAGTTGAGGGGACGAGAGACATAGGTAAGGGAGATTAAACTGCCAGATACATTATGAAATGTATAGTATGGGGAATATAGTTAATAATTATATAATATCTTTGTAAGCTGACAGATGAAAACTGTACTTATCTGGTGATCACTTTGAAATGTAAAGAAATATTGAATTACTATTTTATGTACCAGGAACTCATACAGTGTTGTAGGTCAACTGTACTTCAAAAACACACAAATTCAGAGAAAAAGAAATCAGCCTTATGGTCACCAGAGACAGGGCATGGGGGAAAGGGGGAACTAGATGAAGGTGGTTAAAGCTATAAACATCTAGTTAGAAGATTGATAAGTACTCAATATGTAATTTAAAACATGACAAAGATAATTAACTCTGCTGTATGTTATATATGAAAGTTGTTAAGAGAAGAAATTTTATTTTCTACTTCTTTTACGCTGTATTTAAATGAGACTGGATTTTTACTAACCTTATTGTGGCAATCACTTCACGATATAAGTAAGTCAAATCAGGCTTCCCAGGTGGCGCAAGTGGTAAAGAACCTGCCTGCCAATGCAGGAGACATAAGAGATGCAAGTTCATTCCCTGGGTTAAGAAGATCCCCTGGAGGAAGTCATGGCAACCTATTCTAGTATGCTTGCAAGGAGAATCCCATGGATACAGGAGCTTGGCAGGCCACACTTCATGGGGTTGCAAAAGAGTGGGACGTGACTGAAGTGGCCGAGTATTTAAGTTAAATCATTATTCTGTATACCTTAAACTTCATTTCAGTCGTTCAGTCATGTCAGACTCTTTGTGCCCCATGGACTGCAGCACGCCAGCTTTCCTGTCCATCACCAACTCCCAGAGCTTGCTCAAACTCATGTCCATCGAGTCAGTGATGCCATTCAACCATCTCATCCTCTGTTGTCCTCTTCTCCTCCTGCCTTCAGCCTTTCCCAACATCAGGGTCTTTTCCAATGAGTCAGTTTTTCACATTAGGTGGCCAAAGTATTGGAGTTACAGCTTCAGCATCAGTCCTTCCAATGAATATTCAGGACTGATTTCTTTTAGGATTGACTGATTTGATCTCCTTGCTGTCCAAGTGACTCTCAAGAACCTTCACCAATACCATAGTTAAATAACAGCAATTCCTCAGCACTCAGGTTTTTTTATGGCCCAATTCTCACATCCATACATGACTATTGGAAAAACCATAGCTTTAACTAGATGGACCTTTGTTAGTAATGTCTTGCCATTTAATATGCTATCAAGGTTTGCAATAGATTTTCTTCCAAGGAGCAAGCATCTCTTAATTTCATGGCTAATTTCATGTGGTCTCTGCTGAGTTTTCTAAATTTGCTGGCATTTTCAGTACAGCACTTTCACAGCTTCATCTTTTAGGATTTGAAATAGGTCAGCTGGAATTTTACCACCTCCACTAGCTTTGTTCGTAGTAATGCTTCCTAACGTAAATCGACTTCACATTCCAGTATATCAGACTCTGGGTGAGTGACCACAGCTTCACGGTTATCTGGGTCATTAAGATTTTTTTTTGTATAGTTCTTCTGTGTATTCTTGCCACTTTTTCTAAATATCTTCTCCTTCTGTTAGGTCCATACCATTTTTGTCTTTTAGTGTGCCCATCTTTGCATGAAATATTCCCTTGATATCTCCAATTTTCTTGAAGAAACCTCTTGCCTTTCCCATCCTATTGTTTTCCTCTATTTCTTTCCATTGATCCCTGTGGAAGGCTTTCTTATCTCCCCTTGCTATTCCTTGGAACTCTGCATTCAGTTATTTATATCTTTCCTTTTCTCCTCTGTCTTTTGCTTCTCTTCTTTTCTCAGATAATTGTAAGGCCTCCTCAGACAACCATTTGTCTTTTTACATTTCTTCTTCTTGGGGATTTTTTTTTTCATTTATTTTTATTAGTTGGAGGCTAATTACTTTACAATATCACTACCTCCTGTACAATGATATGAACTTCTGTTCATAGTTCTTCAGGCACACTGTCTATCAGATCTAATCCCTTGAATCTATTTGTCACTTCCACTGTATAATCATAAGGGATTTGATTTAGGTCACACCTGAATGGCCTAGTTGTTTTCCCTACTTTCTTCAATTTATGTCTGAATTTTCAAAAAGGAGTTCATGATCTGAGCCACAGGCAGCTCCTGGCCTTGATTTTGCTGACTCTATAGAGCTTTTCCATCTTCAGCTGCAAAGAATATGATCAGTCTGATTTCTATATTGACCATCTGGTTTTGTCCATGTGTAGAGTTGTCTCTGTGTTGTTGGAAGAGGGTGTTTGCTATGACCAGTGCATTCTCTTGGCAAGACTCTGTTAGCTTTTGCTCTGCTTCATTTTTTACTCCAAGGCCAAAGTTGCTTGTTACTCCAGGTATCTCTTGACTTCCTACTTTTGCATTCCAGTCCCCTATGATGAAAAGGACACCTTTTTTTGATGTTAGTTCTAGAAGTTCTTGTAAATCTTCATTGAACCATTCAGCTTCAGTTTCTTCGGCATTAGTGGTTGGTGGATAGACTTGGATTATGTGATATTGAATGGCTTGTCTTGCAAATGAACAGAGATCATTCTGTCATTTTTGAGATTGCACCCAAGTACTGCATTTTGGACTCTTGTTTACTATGAGGGCTACTCCACTTCTTCTAAGGGATTCTTGACAACAGTAGTAGATATAATGGTCATCTGAATTAAATTCACCCATTCTGGTCCATTTTATTTCATGCATTCCTAAAATGTGGATATTCACTCTTATCATCTCTATTTGACCACTTCCAATTTACCTTGATTCATGGACCTAACATTTAAGGTTCTTATACAATACTGTTCTTTTCAGCATTGGACTTTACTTCCATCAACAGTCACATCCACAAACTGGGCATTGTTTTCACTTTGTCTCAGCCTCTTCATTCTTTCCAGAGCTATTTCTCCTCTGTTCTCCAGCAGAATATCACACACCTACTGACCTGGGGAGTTCATCTTTCAGTGTCATCTTTTTGTCTTTTTATACTGTTCATGGGGTTCTCAAAGCAAGAATACTGAAGTAGTTTGCCATTCCTTTCTCCAGTGGACCACGTTTTGTCAGAACTCTCCACCATGACCCCTCCATCTTGGGTGACCCTACATGGCATTGCTCATAGTTTCATTGAGTTAGACATGGCTGTGATCCAAGTGATCAATTGGGTCAGTTTTCTGTAATTGTGGTTTCCATTTTGTTTGCCCTCTGATGGGTAAGGATAAGAGGCTTGTGGAAGCTTCCTTATGGGAGAGGCTGGCTGTGGGGGAATATTGGTCTTGCTCTGATCCAATATTCTGTTGATGTGTGGGGCTGTGCTTCCTCCCTATAGTTTGGCCTCAGGCCCAATTGCCGTAGGGGTAGTGGTGTTAATCTCGACCTCCTTCAAAAGGACTTATGCCAGGACCATTGTATTCAGTATCTCTGACTCCATGGCAGGCCATGTTGACCCACATCTCTGTTGGAGATTCCTGGACACTCACAGGCAAGTCTGGCTCAGTCTGTTGTGGAGTCACTGTTACTTCTTTGGTATAATTGTTCTCCAGTTTGTAGGTTATCTGCTCAGTGGTGCTATGGTGGCGCTCACAGGCTATGCCTCCCAGGTCTGCTGCAGCCAGAGCCCCTGTCCCCACAGAAGGCCCCTGCTCACCCATATCTCTGCAGGAGACACTCAAACACTCAAAGTCAATTATATCTCAATAAAAATGGAAGGAAAAATAGTTATTTTGAATTGAGATATTATTTATGTATGAAATAGACACCATATTTAAACAATTAGTACAAATTATCATGCAAACTACTTAATTAATAATTTATTATATTACATATTCAGTTCAGTTCAGTCGCTCAGTCGTGTCTGACTCTTTGCAACCCCATGAGTAGCTGAGGCATTCAACTTAGACATTCTTAAAATCACAGACTTTTAGATGGTTAAATAAAAGTTAATGATTTTAAAAATGTCTAAGTTGAATGCCTCAGCTACATATCATCTAAATCAGATATGGGTAAGATAATTCATCCTGAGGCAACGTGCTCCCCATCTGGCAACCTATGAAAACAAGTTAGGAGCTTCCAAAATAGAAATATGGGATGGGCATAGAACAAACACTCTTACTCTAAAAGACAGAAATAGAAAAATTGAAAGGGGGTACTAGTATTGATCAAGTCCCAAATCTTAAGGCCAGTTTGAGTGGGGATCCTACCTTCTAGACATATTTGGTAGTGGTCAGGTCCCCAAGGCTTTGGACAGCCCTGCTCCCATGGTTTGGTTGGCAGAGACTATTCAGCAGCTCTCTTGGGTCAGAGTTCAGGGCAGGTGACTCTCCAAGGCTGGAACTGCATACATGTGGTTTTACAAGACTGGAGTAATGGAGGCAGCCCCATCCCCACAGCACCACTGGGCATTGGACCAGTGGGGGAAATCTCTGGTGGCCATGCCTTCACAATAGTCCTTTGTCTCCATCTACCAACATGCATGTGGAAGTAGTCATATCTCCACAGCTCTTGCACTCTGCATGCTGGCACTTGCATTGGTGAACACAAAGTTTAGTGCCTGTGCCCTCCAGAGGGGCAACCACTTCAAGCCTGTGTCTATGCTTTTCCTGATATAATCCTCTTCTCTCAGAGGGGTGTCTGGCATATAGTAGGTAAGCTTCATTCTTTTGCACTAAGTAAAGGCAAAAAATTCCTGGCTACAGAATCAATACTTCAATTGCTTGAATGAAAATATCTTCCTGTATAAATTGGTAACTGGTCTATTCCGAAGCTTACTGCAGCTTTATTCATGTAAAATCTTGGCCCTGTCCAAGACCTGTCCATTCTCAGTGAAAGTAAAGTGACCACCAATTTAGCCATGTGTCCTATTCAGGCTCCTTAATTTTCATAAGAATCTATCAATCCCAATTTCAGCTCATTTGATTGTAAAGCATGTGCATCTGCATGTAACTGACATGGTTATGATTTCTGCATTCCAATTACTTCTCAGAGAATGACAATTTCAGCTTTATATCAGCTAATTTTTATAAATAACTTTGTGACCAGGTAGTATTTACAGAGAATTATTAGAGAAACATGCAGTCAAGATACTCAAGTGACTGAAATTTTCCTTTCTATCCAAACTACCCTCTGAATCTGTGGTTAACCACAGCAGTGATGGTTGGAGTAATTCTTCTCTTTTCTACTCATTTGGACCTGAAAATTTTGAGCAAGAATTTAAACCAATATCTTACAAACTCAAATTTGACTCCTCCATGTCTATAATGCAATCAAAGCAACAAACTGAAAAGTTATTAGATCTAGTAAAAGCCAATGTAGTTCAAAAGAAGGGAGACACCACTCTGAAAAATCAGAATACAAGGATTCCTCTGAAAAAAAAAAAAATTGTAAGAAATAGAAAGTTTTAAAATTTTGGTGAGAAGTTGTCAATATGATGGAAGGTGACTTCAATAAAAATCAGATACTAATGAAGATAAAAATTATTCTTAGCCTAGGGATAGAAGATAAATAAAGATTTACAATGATGTGCTGGTAAATGTTTAATGACCGAGTTGCCTGGGGAAGGAGGCGAGCCTTGATTTGCAACATATATCTACTTCTGTGGTGTGGGGCCAATTCCAAGTTACCACGTAATTTCAATAAATTTGAGAAATAATGTGCACAATCAGGTCTCATGAGCCAGTATGTGCTCATCCAGTACACCACTGAATCTGTCCCGAATGATCAGTTGATATCACAGTTAAAGCTTAAGGTCAGAAGCCAGAAAGGAACCCTTCTTTGTTGTTCAGTCACTAGATCACATCTAACTCTTTGCAACCCCATAGGCTGTAGCATGCCAGGTATCCCTCTCCCTTTCCCAGAGTTCACAAAAGTTCACATCCATTGAATCGGCGATGCCATCCAACCATCTCAACCTTCTTTTATCATTACTACTTATCACTGGGTCAGAGTGTTTTGAACAATGATTCTCAAATCTAGCTTCTAGAAATTTCTCAAGAAGCTTTTAAAAAAAGAATGCCCAGGTTCCAATCTATGTAAATTAATCAGAATCTCAGGAGGTGAGTCTTGGTTGTTTCCTAAAGTCTCCAGATGATTTTAATGAATGGCAAAGAGAGTGAATACCTAGGATGTGTAATGCAATTAAACAAGAAAGGGAAATTAAAGCTGTTGGAAAGGAGACAGAGTAACATTTATTTATCTAAGATATAAGTTTCTCTCTGAAAAACCCAAGATAAACAATAAAGAAAAGTTGTTAAAATTCACAGGAAACCTTGTTAAAATCCCTGGTCAGAAAGTAAAGATATGAGAATTATAAGCATCTTAAATACTAGCAGTAATCAATTCAAAAGTTTATTAGGAAAAATGGCACACTGTACATGTATGTGTGTTATTTATACAATCAAGCCTAGGAATAAATATGCATATGCATTTAGGACTTATCTAGATAAAAGTCCAAAATATAAAAAGAAAACTACATAAATGAAAACAAATACTGTGATTTTGGACATACAGACTAAATATTGAAAAGTTATCAACTTGACTCCAATTAAGTTTAAGATTTAACATGATTCAAATAAAAATGTCAAAAAGCTTCTGTTTTCTGGAACATGATAAAAAGTTTATGTGGGACAATCAGTGGGCAAAAATGGCTGAAACATTTTTTTGAAGAATAATATGTAAGGAGAATTTGTGCTACTTGATAAGAAAATGATTAATGATGCTCCAACAGTAACAAGGTCATACTAGTACAAGAACAAGTGGAAAAAGTGAAGAGCTCATGAAAAGATCACCATGTAAATATAAGAACTTAATACACAATAAGTTCAGTCATTCAGTCATGTCCGACTCTGTGACCCCATGGACTTCAGCATTTCAGGCTTCCCTGCCCATCATCAACTCCCATAGCCTACTCAAATCCATGTTCATTACTTCAGTAATGCCATCCAAGCATCTCATCCTCTATCGTCCCCTTCTCCTCCCACCTTCAATAATACACAATAAAACATTATAAATTATTGAATAAAGAAGAGATGTTCAATAAATGGAGCATAGAAAATTAACAATTTGGAAAAAAATTAAGTTAGATTCCTATTTTACAGTCAAACAATATAGTTAATTTCCAATTAACAGAAGACTTAAAATGTAAAAAAATAAAATAAAAACGATCATTCAATTCACAGAAAACACAAATGAATTTTTACAGGCTCTTGGCTTTGGAACGGCATTCTGAGTATGTCTCACTCCCATCCTGCTATTGCAGAACCCCTTACCCTGTTTCAGGTGCTTTCCTGGTGGCTCAGAGGGTAAAGCATCTGCCTGCAATGCAGGAGACCTAGGTTTGATCCCTGGGTGGGGAAGATCCCCGGGAGAAGGAAATGGCAACCCAGTCCAGTATTCTTACCTAGAGAACCCCATGGATGGAGAAGCCTGAAAGACTACAGTTCATGGGGTCGCAAAGCGATGGACATGACTGAGTGACTTCACTTCACTCTGAGTATGTTAGAAAATTAAGTTTTGTATGCACCCTGGAGCATGTCATGAATATACTGCAAAGTTGGCAAGGTCTAGAAATTGACACAGAAATGACCACTTGAGAGATATAATGGGTCATGATTTGATGAAGAACTTTTACTGAAACTATGCATCCCCAAAATGAGCCTATAGTCAGGTGAAAAACTGCATCAGAGTCATTTGGGAAGCTTTGTGAAATACAGATTCCTGTATCTCAAGACAAGAGATTTTTTCATCAGGTCAAGGATTAAGCCTGAAAGGTTTTGTTTTGATTTTTAATAACAACTTTTCACATGTGATTCTAGGATGAGCCTGCTTTCCTATTGTGTAATATGATAGACAGGGCTTCCCTGGTGGCTCAGCAGTAAATAATCTGCCTCTCAATACAGGAGACATGGGTTCAATCCCTGGGTTGGGAAGATCCCCTGGAGAAGGAAACAGCAACCCACTCTAGTATTCTTTCCTGGGAAATCCCATGGACAGAGGAGCCTGGTGGGCTACAGTCCATGGGGTCAAAAAGAGTCAGACACAACAATGACTAAACAACAACAAAAGCAACAACAATATGAAAGATAATAAGATTGGGAATATAAACAATCATATCTTGGTCAAGGTTATAAAAACCACTCCAAATGAGGGCATAATGATTTTTCCCCTCACATTTAGAGGTAAAAATCCCCAAACAAAAACACAAGAACAAAAACACACCCCCCCCCAAATAACAAAAAGGTTACAGTGGTTCCTCTAAAACACCAGAGTCACGCCAGAGTATAACAATTAATGAAGAAAATATTAGTAACATGATATTACTATGAAAATTCTGGTTGCATTAATAGTAAGATAAGCTGGGATTACTTGCAATTGATGAAACTGACAGAGTGACAGGAAGAAAAGATAAGTGACTAACAAAAAGTGGACAGAAAAATAACCTATGGGGCTCTGACACAAGTGGTAAATGCAGTAATGACTAATGTGAAGATTGATCAATTTCACCAAGTTAGACTCTTGCCAGCTCATGCTCTTGCTTATCCCCCTTCTTTAGTTATAAAACCCAGGGATGACAGACTAAAGGATAGCTGAAATAAAGGTCACTTTTTCTTTTGTTGTTGCTATATGTGTGTGTCTCAAGTACAGTGATAAAAGACAATACAACCATAGGAAAACAAATGCTATAAACTATGGCTGCAGTAGACCTTCAAATATTTAATAACTATTAATGGCTTATGGTTCCATCAATAAGCAGAGGTGCTGGCTGTAAACATCAGAAATAGCCAGACTGATGCATCTCAGCTATTTCAGACCTGGTTCCTGCTATATATATAGAAGAGAGGGATGTTATCTGAAGAAAAGGTAGAAGCTAACTTAGCAGATTAAAATAACTCCATATGTGGCCTATTGGTTCTCCCTGGATTCAAATTATATCAAGATTGCTAAAAATATTTATAACCTTGAGGCACTAATTCTACTTTGGCAAATCTATGCAAAGTATACATTAGAATTAACTCATCCACAAATTACATAATCACAAAAAAGAAGACAAATGAAATGCTCAATAAGAAGGACATTATCTGATAAATTTTGGTTATTTTATCTATCATAATATTATGTAGCCATTAAATATTTTTAAGTAATTTTTAATCATATGGGAAATGCTTATGTCAAGGTAATGGTGGTCATGAAAAATCTAAATCTCCCTACACATCTTCCATAAAACAACATAGAAGCACTAGAAATACCTAAAAGTACACAAAGCCATGCCCTCCACATAAAAACACAGAAAACACCCAAATTCCAAGTTAACTGGAAAGTGAACATTAAATCCTAGTGAGATAATCACTCAGTCTCTGTCCACAAATCTTTGCAGGAAGCAAGGGCAATCCTGGTAGAAGTTCATTCAG